AAAAAAAAAAAAAAAACCAGACGTCAGCTAGCTTCATCCAGCGCCTCCATGAGCTGCACTCAGCCTCCATTTCCATAAAACAGCGACCTTCAGCAACACAAGGTCCGCTCCTTTGCAAACCAAATCCTGCTCATTTGTTTAGCATTAAGAGACAAAGCTCTGGGCCCAGATGGAGCTCACTGCGCTCTGTGGTTCTATCTGAGTAAAACGAGCCGGTCCAGCCTGTTCTGACACTTTAAAGTGTGTCTGGTTATCAGTCCATAGTCAACGCTGGTAAAAGGGGTACAGGTACTGGGACTCCCGGCCGTGGCTCTGAAGGACACAGTGTTGCGGGTACGATTCCGGGTAAGCAGGGTTTTCAGGAGTTTTACTGAAATGAGCCCAGATCCAACTGATGGCTTCTAGCCAAGGAAATGCTCCTTTTACAACTAAACATTTTTGTGTAGAAATACATAGGCTGATTCAAAGCTGAATAAAATCCTTTCCTATTATTATATCTATACTAAAATGTCTTCTATACGTCAACAGAAACAAACGTGAGGATCTGGGAACATAGCAGTTATTGAGCTGGCCTTCTTATGACTCTGGGGGAAAGTGAACTGGAAATAAATCCCTGCATAGATGTTTTCAGGTAAACCGGGCAGCACATTCTTCCTCACTTAACAAACCTGAACTTCAGATGGTGGATAAGACTCTTTCTAGATGGATTCATCCAGACATTAACTTCATCCATCTCTCCAAGGTGAGTGTTCCTGGTTTTAACCAGGCCACCGTTCTGGATAAGATCTGCTGCTCTGCTGATAAAGGAAGGAAGGCGTATTGAGAGTGCAGCCTGAGGAGAAGCAGCAGTCACACCACAGTGACTGCCTGAAGGCTTCCTCTGATGACTGCATGAAGGAAGAATGATGGCTTCAATTACTGAGCTTTGAAATAGTGGAGGACATGAAAACAAGACTGGAACTGCTCTGTAAGCAGCTCAATACAAGAAGAACATCAAATCATTATGTGGTTTCTATATGCATGTAGAAATTCATTCAAGCACAGTTTGCTAAAACCATCTGACAGGCACAGGAAGAGTGGATGCTATCAGAGATCCGGCTGCCTGCTGGAAAACATCTTCTGAAACACTCCATCTCCTGAACTCACACACAATCCTGAAACTGAATGTCCATGAGTACACATCTGGACCCAGATCAGAGAACCGCTGTGACAGCAAACTCATTTAGATCAAACTCATTTACAGAATTCTGCTGCTTGTTCAGTTTAACACAGTTTGCTCGACATGGTGCCGTAACCTTTACGGTTAGCCTTACCAAAGGCTAATTAGCAAAAGCTTTTCAGAGTAGATATAAGGGTAGGTGTCAGGGTAGACTTTAGGGTAGACGTCAGGGTAAATGTTAGGGTAGGTGTCAGGGTAGATGTCAGGGTAAATGTTAGGGTAGGTGTCAGGGTAGACGTCAGGGTAAATGTTAGGGTAGGTGTCAGGGTAGGTGTCAGGGTAGACGTCAGGGTAAATGTTAGGGTAGGTGTCAGGGTAGGTGTCAGGGTAGATGTCAGGGTAGATATCAGGGTAGACGTTAGGTAAACGTCAGGGTAGATGTCAGGGTAAATGTTAGGGTAGGTGTCAGGGTAGACGTCAGGGTAAATGTTAGGGTAGACGTCAGGGTAGGTGTCACATTTAGGCATAAATGCAGCGAAAACAATTAAAGTGAATCAACCATAAACTCTGCAGCCATTGGCTAGACATTGCTAAGAAACGACACATTAAAGTCCTCACCTCATATGCATTCTTGATATTGAGCGGTTGTCCTGTGGAGGCTACGTGTCCAACTATCCCCTTGTTCCACTCGAGTCGGATGCAGCTACTGGACGATTCCTCCAATGTGGATCCCTCAGCAACGTCAAACAGCCGGCTGACCAAGAACTTCCTGTTGGAGCTATCTTCACCCACCTGCAAGAACAATAGAAGTGAAATAAAGACACGAGGGGAAGAAATACACCGTACAGTTATGCTCACTTTATGCACAACAGTTTTAGTTACTGACCCTTTTGCTCGAGCAGAAAACCTTGTAAAAGGGTGTTAATATGTTCTTTGAAGAGTATTCTGGGGCAACATTGGTGTAGGGTGCAGAAGGGTGCAACCAGAGGTTTGAACCCTAGCTTTGTATGTCCCAGCCGTCTACCCGCCTGGCACACTGATGGTGGTCAGAGGCCCCATGGTGCCTCAGTCAGTGTGTCCCAGAGCAGCTGTGGCTACGATGTAGCTCACCACCATCCATGGAGGAATGAAAAAGAGGACAGAACGCAGCTGTTTCTTGAGCTGTTCTACGATACGAAGCAAGCTGCTGTGATGGAACCAAAGGGCTAAAGTTTCTGCCTCTCCACGAGGGGGTCCGGCTTTGTTTCCTCCCTCAGCTGAAGGGAGCTCCTCTAATTTAGTTGAATATTAGTTAATCACTCTTACATCCACCAACTTTATCACGTTTTCTTTAGCATTCAGCCTAAATGAAAACCACAAACTTAAAGAATGTTTGTGGGGATTCGTCCTGAGGAGCTAAACAGAGCATCTCTGATGACATTGGAACCATGTCTGGCAGAAGGTCCAAGTGGACTTCTTCTGGAATCTCTACTGGCTGTAAACATCTACAGAAAGGTTTGGATGGATCATCTGTTACCTCAGAGTCACAGCTAGGATCCAGTGAGGACTTTGACTAGGCCTTTCTTAAACAATGTGTAGCTATGGCTGCACAGCATGATGCCTCCTCCACCATGTTTTTACTGTGAGTTTTCAGGCAGATTATTTTTTGGTCTTATCTGAGCAGAAACCTTTGTCTGTATTTCTAGCTGGATCCTGGATGTTCTCCTGCAGCTTTAAGGGCATTAGTGGCGAGCAAAGCTAATTGATCTTCTGTCAGCAGATACCACCTGAGCTGAGGTACGTCTACAAGGAGTTGAGGTGATGGTTGGTTCTGGGAGACTGTTCTAGAACCAAACCCAGCTAAAAATGGTCCATTTAGCTCTAATCAAAGAAGGATGAATATCTTATGTTTTCACCTCATTTCTAATTAGCAAAGGAAAATAAACATAGTAAACATGTTAAAACAAAGTCTAAGTTAATTTCTACCAAAATGTCAATAGTGGTAATTTCTACACACTATCATCTTCCTCCTCACCCCCTCAGAAATGTTTACCACGTAACTCGAATGCTGAAATAAATGATTGAGTGAATATCGTTGGATGTGCTGATTTTTTTAACAGTTCCCTGAATATGTTTCGGGAAGTTTGGACCAGCCTCAGTGAGGTGAACCCTGGGATGTTGTTATCAGAAGGCATCGTGGATAAACTCCCATGAATCATCCTTAATCGTTACCATACATCCATTTCTAGAGCTCAGATCCAAACCAGTGGGTCTAGATCAGCACAACGTCTCTTCTTTGAAATCAATAAACAGGAATGTTGTAACCGATGCATAAATATTGTAGGAAGTATTTGAACATACGTTGAATCTGACCTGCATTAACATCCTTTCCCTACAGCTGAGAGGTTCCTACCAGAAAGAGGGAGTATCGATCCGCCGCAATCAGCTCGTTGATATGCAGGAAGATCTTATGGCAAAGCGCCGTCACGTCCAGATGACTTGATACTTCCTTCACCAGCTCCAGCAGCCTGGTGCAGCGGTCCCCCGCCCGACCTCCACCGCCCCCACTGTCCTCCATCACTGAACCACACAGAGGGACAGGCTCTCGCTCCGAGTCGCTCAGGAATGTCAGGGACCCCTCCGAGTCTTTAACCACGATGGGTCTTAATGGCCGGTCAAACTCAGAGGCTGAGATTTTACGGGTCGGGGTACCGGGAGCCGGGCTTGGGACGGTGGCTGGGGAGGGGCAGCGGGTGTCCATGAGGGTGAGTGTTGAAGGGAGGATGGGGGAGTTAGAAGATGGGCAAAGATCCAAGGAGGACTGGTGGCTTCGCTGCTGTGGAGAGTTTTCCTTGGACACAGACGGCTGGATGGTGTGGACACGCTCAGCAAACCAGGCGTTCACCATCTCCCTGTCAACACAGAACAAACCAGATTACACTGCCGCCTGGGACACTTAGGACAGAGAGAAGGGGAGCAGAACCATCCAGGGACAGCCTGAAATAAAGTCTCATTTCAACATCTTTCCTAAGGAGCTTCAGAATCCAGGAGATCTTAGCAAGAGACACCATGGCGATGGATACTGTCCCTTTGACACAGAACTTCTAGGATGAACAGACTGGTTTCAGAATCATCCCAGGATGCCCACCATCACAGGCCTTCAGAAGAAAATTTTGCAAAACTCTGAGATATCAACATTCTCCTTAACCTAATTATGGGCATACTTGGTTGTTGTTTTTTTAAGGTTTCCAATGTGGTGACGGCCCATTGACAAAACTTCTATTGCAGTCGGAGACTCCCCCTCCCATAAACGATGGACTGAAGACCGTCCTCCATTCCTGTCCCAAAGTTTAAAGTCCCTTTAATAAAAAACAGGACCAGTTTCTGGGGAACTTCCCTCCAATTCAAGGGAGTAAAGTTTATTTATGCAGCACCTCTTCCAAAAAAAACCCATAAAGTGCCTCACAAAGAAAGCCTAGACATTAAAATATTATTACACACAAAGAGCTGCCTTTTAAATGAGTTTAACCATTCACAGAGCACGCTTTACCAGATTTATTAGATATCACACACCGGTGGGAATCAGAAACAGCTCCCCGGGCTACCTGAACTAGCTAAGAAAGCATCATCATAAAAGAGCTGACTGATGGAGAGCTAGGAGATAAAATATAAGAAGAGGTCCTTGGATTATTTGAAAGAAAAGCAAAGCACAAAGAGTGCATTGCAAAATAAAAGACATTTAGTCACAACATAGCAACGTCAGATCTGGTGAATATGAACAATCTAAGAAAAATCCACTGTGAACCTCTTAGCTACCCACAATGTTAGCCTCTCCTCAGTGTTGGCTACCTTTAATGTTAGCTTCCCTCAATGTTAGCCAGTGATGGGTTAGGGTTATGACATGTTTAGCCGCATGTCGTCATTCAACCGCTGGTTGTCTAGGTGGTGTCCTGAAAACAACGTGGGCTACATTAATAATTGGCAATCCTTTTGGGGAAAACCTGGTCTGATTCAGAGAGACGACATCCATCCCACTCTGGATGGTGCAGCTCTTCTTTCTAGGAATCTGGCCACATTTATTAGCCCTCCAAAACCCTGACCCCCCAGGGTGCAGACCAAATGGGGGGTGGCTAACATTAGCCACCCCCTATTTTAGCTACCCCAATGTTAGCCAGCCCCACTGTTAGCCACCCCCATTGTTAGCCACCCCCATGTTAGTCACCCCCCCCACTGTTAGCCACCCCCATGTTAGCCATCCCCACTGTTCAGCCATGGGGATCATCCAACAGAAAAGTATAGTCTACCTCAAAACCAGTATAAAGGCTTTTATCTGTTAAAGAACGTTCCCAGTATTGGATCCTAAAGGAAATGGCAGAAACCTCTGAAGGACTCCATCCTCTATGATAAGACACACTTTAAAGAATATACCGGCAATAACATACCAGCAATCAGTAGTTATTGGCTGCAAAGAGCACAGCTTGTTACCTGGAAAAGCAGAGAGTCTGTTTGTACTTTTAATTCCAATAAACTGCCTCTGGGAAATCTTTATTCTGACTAGAAACTAAGAGGCTTTCTCAGAATATCCTGGATTGTTGAGGTAAGAATGAAAGAACCTGATAAAAGATGAATTTACAGGAAATGAGGCAGATTTTCACTTTTGTTATTGAGCTAAAGTTGAATAAACCTGGAACCAGGTCCATGCCATGCAAGGTGTACTGACCCGTTCAAACTGGTACTTTTGATATAGGTAACTGCAAAGCTTAAGAGGAACGTTATAGCAATAAAAAGGCCTGGAATCTCTTCAGAAATGGTTGCTATGATGTTCTACACCTCAAAATGTAAGCGACAAGCATCACGGTGAACTCTACCACAGTCAGCTGTTCTTTAAAAGCAGGACAATGGAGTCATTTAGACTTTAATAGTCACACAATGGTGCTCAGAGCGAACCTTTGCGACAGTAAGTACTCCACTGGCTGGAGGTTAATGTTTAAACCCACAGCAGAAAGCCTTGCAGGAATGGAAACCAGTCCACCCACATGGTTGGTCCCACCCTGAGGGGCTTTTTCCACCATTTTCACACTATAAACCTGAGAAGTTTAACCATCACACCTGAAAGGCCATTTTCTACTTCATGTTGGTTCATTTAGAACCAAATCGGTCCATCATTAGCAGCCCTAACCCAATGGGTCCAAGCAAAACACTGGACGCTTGGTGAGAACACTGACTGTAATAGCAGTCTAAATCCTCTGGGGGGGGTGTAACGCCGGCGTTAGGAGGCCTGGAAGCTGTTGCTGAGTCAAAGTTAGTTTCTTAGATGATTTTGGGGCTAATTTTTCTTTGCATCCTGGACACAGAGAACAGGAGCAGTAACAAAGTGGCTCTTCCTGTAACATTTCCACCTTCTGCCTCGGGTTGATCATCCTGGATGTGGAAATGTTGGAAATCTTGATGATATTTCCCAGAAGGCCACATTCCCAGAGGAAACACACCGACAACAGTAGGTAACCATCATGCCATCCCACCTAATGGGGTCTGATGGATCAGGGGGTCTAACCTAGTCTGGAAAAATATGTC